AAATTACAGAGTTTATATGATCAAAGAGAAGCCTGAGAGGTGAGTTCATAAGTGTGTGTAAGAAACAGAAGCTAACAGGCATAGCAAGAAGAAGTGCCTTGAAGCAATAGCCATTCATGTTCAAGAAAATGAAGATGCAGGAATGTTTCTTTGGGTGCAATTAATCACAAGGACTGACATGAGAAGTGATGAATTCATCTCATCAAAGATGAGGCAAAACCAGCCCACTGATACTTGGTTAATTGGGTGATACACAGAAATCTGTAGCAAATAAGAGGAGGGACGATATACTCTGATGATCTTGCCTTGCCATAAAATCTCTAGTTCTGTGAATTTTGTGGACTCAACTATGCTTATTTAGAGTTGTATGTCTAGCTGTGGTGAATTGAAGGAAGACAGAGTCAAGGCTCAGAAGGCCTAAAGCAAGCAAGATGATTAAAAAACAGTTATAATGAGAGATATTAATGTGTTATGACACCCAGAAGTGAGAGGATGAGAAGGGGCTTCATTTAACCTGCTTCAGGTCATAAAAAGGCTTGTAAACCTGCCAGCAGTAAAAATACAAGGAATCATGGGCTGACATTAATGTTGAGTTTATTAAAATCCATTTCACACAGCTAAGGCAGCCTCGGACATCCACTTTCTGCAGAAGTCCAAATGTGCCAATGCATTTTGGAAGGGCTGAGTAATTTAATGTAATTATAGCAACAACAGTACAGGTTCTCATGCAAAGGAAAGAATGATAGAGTTGTGTACAGGGAGATAAACAGATGTCTACGCAGCCCATTGAGGGATGACCCCCACATAGCTCTGAAGAATGGCTGACAAGCATCATGGGCCACTTTACTATTTTAGTTCACTTTTCTGATCCACCAGCAAATGATTCCTGACAGTCAGAATAGTTCTGAGTGGATGAAAGACCTTATTTAGCATGACAAATCCTGTCATTTTAAGAGGCAGAATGGAGGATGAAGGCAACTATTCTACCTCCATCTGAAATGACTTTTTTCTACCATGGGGCTGAGTGTTTCTTTTTCCAAATTTACAGCCAGCCTGTACCAGGTTACTTTGGTGCTGACCAAACTCTGGACTTCATGTTGCAAGCACAGACTGGAGATGGGAACAAAAAGGTAAAACAGGTGAAGGCATGGAGGGCAGTGGCAGCACAGGAGTGGGGGAGGTTGGGTAAAAAAGCAACAAACATTTTCTGGTCCTTGCTTTTCCCCTCTCTTTGGCTGGTACTCATTACTGTGTGGCCACAGACATGAAAGGGAACAGCACAGGCCATGCCTCTGCAAGGGGGCTCTGCATACCCATGCCTTGATACCGATTAATGCTCAATCTCTCCCTGCCTTGAGGTGGTGGTGGTAGATGGAAAATCTGGCCTCCCTGTTTGGAACCAGGAACTTCCATGGCAAAGGCAACAACTCGATGCACTCTCAGTCATGACTTTGGACAAGAAGTCTGTTTTTCTCTTCTGGGCTGATGAAACACAGCCTGTGTTGCAAAGTTTGGTGAGCACGCATCCTTTCTTCACTTTGAGGTTTCTCTGTGAAGCACATTCAGTCTCTGTCTTTCATTACTGTTGTCATTGAACTTGAACTTAACATATAAAAAGGCTGTCAGGAACATCTCTTATTTTGACATTCTGACTTCTCTGAGCCTGAGCATAGGAGTTTTTGTATGCAAATTCTTCACCATAGAGCTTTGTTGACAGAAATTTTGCACCCACAAACCCCAAAATTTGAGAATTTAATTTTTTCATGCAGCACTGAGGAGCTGTAACTGCATATTTGTTCCCAGCCCAGAATGCTCCTTCTGTCCTTGCAGGCACACAGTTTGGCACAGAGACTCAAACTTCCAGACTGTAGCTTTGCCCATTAAGCTGCATATGACAGAGCTAGATTTCAACCTTACCAAACAGAAGGTGTGGAGCAAATTCTGTTTTAGGGAAAAAAGGGGTCTAGGATTTAGTCTTCATAAAACCCTAGTTTTTCTCTGATCCATATTAAAACAACTCAGTGTCAGAAAACTTTATTTTTTTGACAAAGCTAGACTCCCCTTTGCTAGCCAGTTTTTATGTTTTTGTCTCTTGCATTCCAACAGCAGCCTGGTCCCAGACCTGAGCGCCCAGGTCTGCACCACCTCTATCTCCTCCATCCTGTTTTTCCTACAGTTCTTTTGGACCTCACCAATGCAACAGACAATGTCATTGCTTCAGCAGGTAAGTACAAATGGAGGAGATAGTACCTAGGCTAGAAATACTGAGAGAGAAGTAACTGTGAGAAACAATGGACTGTAGTTGTGCCTTTAAAGGTAGCACCTAAGGTCCACCACACATAGGACAACAGTGGGAAATAAGATTCATCATCCTTCTGAAGGAGCATCCTGTCCACCCCCTACTTTGCAAATAAAAGACTCACAAGGTTTTTTACATGATTAACCAAGGAAAGGTTTAAGTTTGATTTAATGCATGTTTTACATCAGAGAAGTTGTGTTGCTTTTCATGGAGCTATTTTTAATTTCATGCAGTGCATAAAAAATCACTATAAAACTTTTCTCTGTCACTTCAGATACATTTTTGCTTTTGTTTGCCATCTCCTGCTCTTTGGGATAGAAGCTGTTCTGCTTCTTCCTCTTTCTTTTTGTAAGTGGGGGGTCAAAAATACATAAGTGTGTTTTCAGGGAAAAGTAGATCTGGATTTGACATCTATACAAGATTTTACAGGCCCTGTTCAATTTCCTTGCTCTTTCTAAAGCAGTTCAGTGAATAACCAGCCTCTTGTGCATGGGAGTATGGGATAAAAGATCGGTTCATCCAGAATGAGAGAAGTAGGCCAGGAAGCATAGAAAAACTGCTGCATAGTAACATCTAATTGAACTTGTATCAAAAACACAGTTCAGTCAAGAGCAAATAGAATATTATTTTTACAGGGGTTTTTTAGAAACTAGATTTCTGAGGTCTGTACAGATCATTCTGCAGTGGCTGGAGTCACCTGACTTGCCAGTGCTTTACAAATTTCTTATTTTATAGAGGTAAAGAACAGCTACTAACAGGTGTGGGAAGGAAAGCTGAGAGTGAACTGTATTCTTGAAATATGTTCAAATCCTATGTCAAGCTCAAAAGTATAACCTAGGACAAAGCCTTTCCATTTCTGATCTATATTTCACTTTTGCATGAAAAAAAAAATTAAAATAATTTTCCCTTGTCAACTAAGTTACATGCAATTGTAAAGTCAGACTGAATATACTATCCTAGTGGATGTTTTGACTGAGTAAGGGCTATAAGATTTCTTTTGGAAGAAATGTAATGATTTGCCTCTCACCACTATTTTCTTGCCCTTTTCTGATGGACTAGTTGGAATTAATGATCTCCAAAAGGATGCATTTCACATCACTGTGACAACAACCGCAACCTCTGAAAAACAGCCAGGATTTCTCTCGGTCAGCAAGCTGGGCCTGAAGTGGGCCATGATGAGTCAAGGTCGAATGGTGTGGTTAAAGGACAGCAGCTCTCCAAAAATCAGCCGTGGAGAAGTGAGGCGGTTTCTTGCCCGGATGAAATTTGCTGACTTTCCTCAGAAGGTGAGATTGTGCAGGAATCCCTAATGAAATTGAGGCCTTTGAAAACATCTGATCTCTTCCTTACAGACACAATTAAGGTGCTCTTTGGGATGGAAGGAGACTGGTGGGATGCAAAGTGACTGCAAGATGACTGGCTGTCCCTTTGGGCATAAGCTGGACAGATTGTGAAGCAAAGAAGTACTTAGGCAGTTGAACACAGCACAGGATCTTAGAAAGAAACAGGGATGATGATCATAAGAGACTGAGAGATTTGCTGAGAGGATCAGAGAGGTGGGACTGAGATCACTTGTTTTGACGTGGGCAAACAAGGGTCCTCCATACAGTGGTGCCCAGGTTCTGTTGCTGACTTGTAAATTACTACTTTACCAGACTGGATGATAATAGATTTTGGCTTTAATGTTTGTTTGTCTTTCCTTCTTCAGCTCTAGCCTGGTGGTTCCTCAGATGTTGGTTGGACCTGTGGTCTGTATGGGGAATATAGGAAGCTACTCTGTGTGTCTTCAGGAAAACGGCTATATAGAGGGAATGAGGGCTAAAAGCACTTCCCCTTTCTTCAGGTGTCTGGGGAAGGCTGCTGGAGGCAGGTTTGTCCTAGGCAGACCTGTTCTGTACCAGAGAAATCTTGTTCAACAACTCCCCCTCCATATGCTGTTCTTGCATGCTTCCTTCCAGGTAACACAGAAATGTGAATTTAGAGTTTATATACATATATATATAAAATCAGGCTTTATATATATATGTGTTAATTTATACAATATATGTATATTTTTTGTATGTTTAATTTATGAACGAGATTTAGGACACAACTTTTTATGTCCAGACAGTGTTCCCAAGCAGTCTAACAAGCTCTATGCCTAGAGTGGGCCATGATGAGTCAAGGCAAGTGGTGTGGCTAAAGGACACCTTTAATCTTTTTATCTTTGGAGAGAAGCCTCTGCCTCCTGCAGGGTTAGTCTTACCGATGTCTCCTGTACTCTCAGCTCTCTTATCCATGCTGTTGCCAGACTCAGAAACAAACTAGTTCTCTGGCTGAATTACCTGATCTAGAGAAAGATGGTCTCCACAGCATTTGCCAGCCCCTTGCACTTGTGTCTTTCTTTCCCAGCTTTAAGTTCAGGACACCAAGTTCAGACATATGTGGGTGATGTAGAAGTGAAAGGTTCACAGCTTATTTCTCTCCATCATTAAGGTTTCTATAAACCCAAATTGTCACTGTAACATCACACTGCAGTCCAATGGGCAGTCCCCCTTTGCAAATGTATCACAGCCCCCTTGGGATAGAAATCCAGCAGATCCAGACTGTCACTGTAAAGGTCACTCAATCTTGTCACAGAAAAGCTGATTCTTACGCTGCTGCTACAGGGTTTAGAAGTTTAGAGAGAGAAAGAACTAGAAAGCTTTTCTGTACATTTTAACCCTACTCTAAGCTCAATATTGCCATTCCCTTGCCAGCCCTGTGTGCAGCTCCAGGAGGAACAAGATACCCCTGGGACACATTTGTTTACAGTGTGTTAGGTGTTTTGAACTGTGTCCAAGAGTGTGCCATCATTCTCTCTTGTGTTTGAAGAGCATCTGTATGAATTTTCTTGTAGTAGAAAAGACCATATAGAAAGGAACCACTTTGGTGCCCCAGTAGTTCCCCACAGTTTAGGGCAACAATATAGGAACTGCTTTCTTTGTATGCCATTCTATGGCCTTTGACATTAAACAGAGCCAGGTGAGACGAGGATTGCAAAGGACTCTTCTGTCTAGCATGTGCCCTTCCAGCCTCCCCACATTTCCCCATGAGTTGTGAGGTGACAGCAGACTTTGACCCTCCTTCCAGATGGGCACATTAGCCATGTGTTTGCTTTCCTCGGCCCTTGACACCTCTCTTTGCTGTATCACCCTCTCATCATCCCACATCCCTATATAAAGCTTCCAGGATAGCCCTTCAGGTTTAGCTGCAAACCCCAAGGCTGGTCCTTGGGCCTTGATCTCCTAATGTCAGAGCCTGTGAACAGTTTGTATATGTTTAATGGTATTTTTGTGTAAATAGCTTTGTATATATTAGCACAACTGTAGCAATGGCTCTAGGCCTGGCATTTTCCTCCAGACAGGGTTTCGTGTTTATAATATGTAGTCAGTTAATAGAGCTGCATAATAGGACTGAAAGTGTGAGGACCAGTAATGTATGAGGGATTAAACAGGAGTGCCTCTTCCCTCCTGTCCAGCCACCACCTTGCTGGAAAAGGTGAATTGGCTGTTACCTAAGTAGTTACTCTTCCGAGATTCTTCATGAGAGAACTGATATTCAAAAGCAGTGATGTTAGCTCCTCTTTAATGTGAATTCACCCTGGCCACATCCCCTCCCCTGCCCCCACTGTGAATAAAGAGTCTGTCTGTATATTGTTGGAAAAATGTATTTGAACTGCAGTGGAGCAAAATAAATACTGTGGACAGCATCATGTGTCATGTGAACCAGTGTTTCACCTTTGAGAGATTACGAGTTTGCTTGGGGTTTTGATTCAGGGGTTGTTTGCAATATTTTTACAATGGACAAAAAGGAACAGATCAATAGAAGTAACATAAAAACCAAAAGTCCTGCCAAATTCTTAAAGATTGTGAAGAAACAGTAAACAGATGCATACAGCAAAGTACCTCAGAATGGGAGATTTTTGGGCAAAAAAAGCAAGAAGGGAATATGTGGGAGTCATTACAGATGGGAAAGAGGAGGAGAGAGATGTCTGAAAGCTACCCCCTATTCTTACTGCAGCAGGACTTTTAATCTGGGGGCAGGGAGAAGAGTTTGGGCCTGAAAATTAAGAATAAACAGGGTGTTCAGAGAGGGTGGCAGCTGATCAATATGAACACTGATTGTCTTCACCATAGCACTGAACTGGAGGCGTCGATGGAAGGTCAGTGTGACACTACCCAGCAGTGCAATTTGCCATCTGGATGGTACTGACTCTGTTCCCAAGTGCAATACTGGGATTAGGCCATCTGACTCAACTCTGAAAGTGCTTAGAGACAGCTGGCACCAGCATGTCCCTCCAGTTTCACCCTTGTCAGATGAGGGCACCTATCATACTGTATATGACCACAGAGGATCCCCAAACTTCTACTCTAGTTGCCCTGACCCAGTTCCCACCTCTTCACTCCCTGTAGAGACAAGAAGAGCTCCACAAAACCTGCTAACAGTGGTGCCATTGCTTGGTTCAGAGCTCTTGTGCATCCCAAACCCCACTGCTCTGTCCCTGTACACTCATCCCTAACAGCGATCCTCCCCAATTGTCTGGCCCAAGACTTCATCCAGGTCCAGCTCTGGTTCCCGCTGTAGCATTTTCTGCTGCAGATCAGTGTAGAAGTCAACTCCTTCAGAAATTGAATGGAAGACCTTGCCTTTGGGCTCATAGTAGCTGCTTATTTGCTGTATGAAGCATTGGTGGTGCTGAGGGTGATCCTTGAGAGTCCCATCATATCCCTTGATGTGGTTCCTTTTGAACTCCAGTATCGTCTTGGTGTAGGTGTTGAGAGTGGTGACAGCAGAGGCCATGCAACAGGTGAAGGAGGCCCAGGCCATGCTGCAGAGACACACAGAAGAAGCACATGCTGTGAAAAGCCATGTAGACTAAGGAACACCGTGATACACCCCAATTCTCCCTGATTTGCCAGGCAGAACCTACTGGACACAGACATGAACTAGAGTGACTGAGGCTCATAACATTACAGTTCTTAGGGGTTATCCCACCACAAGATTCTTCTTAGGTCAGTGGGATAAATTTTGGTCATCCCTATGACAGGGAAGGGAGTGATACAGGGAAAAAGGCAGCAGGAACATCTGTAACTGGTCAGAGCAGGAGGGCACAGCTTAGAAGCAAGTTCTGCATTGCAGGGCTGCTCAGTGTCTTACTGCCCCTGAGGCTTGTCTACCTGAGCATAACCAAATTGCCATCCTGGCATTTGATATCCATGGGTGGCACACGGCACTGGAGTGTTTAAGAATCGATATGGTCATCATCAATATAGCATTACAAATTGTATCTGCCCGTTCCATGGGCACCTGCAAAGCTCATCCAAGTATTTTTCAAGTCAGGTATGTCGTGTCAGCTGTGCTTGGCTGGTTTATCCTTTAGAGGAAGGCACACTGACCTATTTGCTTTTCACAGCTCCTCTTCCTAGCTCACAAGTGACACTGGTCTATTGCCTGCTTTCCCTCCTTCCTACATTTAGTACCATCTTAAGATGACCTTGGCCTCCAGTGCAGCTGCCATTATATGGCTGGGTCAGCACTGGAGAGGATAGTGTGACTGCTGGTTGGGGGCCGAGCTGTGCCCACATCTTTAGGCACATGTCTAGACTTGGTGTTGCAGGAATAGGCCCTTGGGCCCCACACTGGTTAGTGCAGATGCCAAACCAGCATCAGCAAAGCAACTTACTAAAACTGTAGAAAAACAAGGTGTGTTTGAGAGCATCATCGCAAGTGTGATACTGGACTCTGCACACAGGGAAGAGCTGAGACCAAACAGGGCAAACCAGCAGAGGGGCAAAGCCTAATTAGTCAGCAGGGCTGAAGGCAATTGTTTAGGTGTGACCCCATTGTTTTCCCAGTCCTTTGGTAGCTATTAATTTAAATAGCTCAGCCACCATTTATTAAAACAGGGTGAGGCAAAGACAGATTAGTAGTAGGAGAACCATGGTACACCTGTCTTTGGAACACACAGAAGGTCAAGAAAGGAGGAGGAAGTGGGTGGCTGAAGCTCTAACGGTGGGGAGATGAAGATGGCTTCAGAGCTCACATACTAGAATGCCCAGCCATAGTCCCACGTGTGCGGTCTCCAGTCCTCCGGTCCCAGATTAACTGTTGCCTGGAAGACTTGAGTGTACATCATGTGTGCCACCATCCCAAGGAGACCTGGACACAAAGGACAAAGCAAAGAAGTTACAGCAGGAGCCAGATCAGCATACTTCAGTCTTGAATGTAAAAAGCAGGCTCTCCAGTGCTGAGATTCCAAGACTACACTGCTACACTTACCTGACAGCACTGAGGAGACAGCAGCAAAGGCATTGAGCTTCATCCCACAGACAGGATTGCCAGTATGCAGAATTTCCACCATCAGGAGGATGAAGCTGATGAGCAGCAAGCTGATGTACAGCATCTCTGATCCTAGTGACAGCCACAGGATTCCTGACAGGAACACAGGATTAAACCATGTTCAAGGAAGAATACTCCCCTCTCTCAACCCAATCCTGAAAGGATGTCCTTTGGGATAGAAGGGAATGAAGGAAAACAGTAAACACCCAAAAGCAATCTCCCCAGCCTGTGAGCAAGGGATCAATGGATGCTGTAGAGGACAGAGTGCCTGTCATAGAGGATGGCTTGGCTCCTCTAGCATGGCAGAGCTGAGAGGAACCAAAATGCCCTCTGTAAACAAGCCAGCATTATCCAAAAACAGCAAGAAGGAAAGCAAAAGGAAAAAGACAGGGGAAGCTGTTGACTAATAGTATAAAATCTAATGGTCAAAGATTTGTTGTGAACACACCTGAGCTCTAACCATGACAATGAAAGCAAACAACTTTTAACCTGGGACCTGGCTACTTAAGAGCTATATGGTGCATCCATGACTGTCTGGGACACGGCCTCTGAAATTTAGGATGCCTCTTGCAAGCCTGTATTTCTCACTGAAACCCCAATTAAAATGAAAGTACATTCCTTGGGGGTGATATCCAGCCAGGGCAGTAACACTGACCACTCACCCTGCTTTTTGAACAGAGTGCAGGTACTTTCATGCTGGGATTTTGAGTGGGATTTAAGTGATACCAGAGGCCACAGCTGAGCTGAGTTCTACAGCTGTGCAGTAAGAATTGAAGGAGAATGAAGAAAGGCACTCTGTAATGCTGGGCTGTGGAAAAGCACAGGATTCACTGAGGAAGAAACATTAATCTGACAAATGAAGCAGCACTGTGAACACCACTGTTAGCAACTATTAATGGCTGAGAGGAGACATTCAGCTGGGGAAAAGGAGTGTGAAGAAAACCCTCATTAATGTGGCACTGACTTGAATACTCAACATCATTAGTGCCATAGTCACCTAGCTCTTTAGCAGAAATAGATGAGCTGCATTCCCTGTTTAAAGGAGCTGGCTTGCTTGCTGCAGCACCATCAAGAAGAATATTTCATTAAAGGTCAGACTGTCCAAAGTATTCTGGAGGTTGCAGGTACCGCACATACACAGAGACCTCTGCATCATTTCCCTCCTGAGTCCAGGCTTCCCACTGATGATATGTAACTTGGTCTTGTAATGTTGCCTGTGTATTGTGGAGCTGCTGTGCACACACCCAGCTCAGCCAGCCCATCCCACAAACAGCAGCCACACCACCTTGTCCGGTGCTAACCCAGCTACACAATGGCACTCACACCAGTCACATTAAGATGATACCTTGTGCAGGAAGGGCTGAAAATGGCGCTTGCAAATCCCCAGCATTGATTACACCCTTGCGCTCAGGGTTTGAATGCTGGCACAGGCTCTGCACCCCAGGCCTTTCCCTTCACATATGAACATCTTCTGAAACGACTTGCCTCCAGCCTCCAGCTCAGGGAATAGTCAGCAAGCCCACACCAATTGAAAAGCCTTCATTAAGTAGAATCTACATACCATATGTACACTTACATCAAAGTATGAAGCTATCCACAGGGTGATTTGAAACGTGACAATGACAGGAAGGGTGATCTCTCCTTCCCAAATGTAGTTTTGTATTTAATGAGGCAGGGACTTCACCTTGAAAGCATAGCTTTCAAATGTCCTGTTCACTTCCCATGAAGAGGTGATTCAGCTTCCAGATTTATCATATTAGACCCCAGAACTGAAGCACTGAGTTAACATGGTGTTAACTGTGTGGGAGGGATTGCCCCGAGGCTGCATCCATCCTCTTCCCCTTTACTACAGCAAGATGACAATCCCAGACCAGGCAATTTATTACATCCCACTTCATACTGAAGGGAATATAAGAATTCTAGCACTGACTTCACAAATAACAGTGGCTTATGTGAAAATCTGTGAGGAAACCTTTGTTCCTTTAGTCACCACAAGGACAGGATTTCATGCCTGGCTCTTTGGGGACTCACCTTGCTGTCCCCACACAGGCAAAATGTGGCATGCCCCCTGCCCCAAAGAGATGCACTGTACAGCTACAGCGGAATTTGCTCTTACCTCTCTCTGCTGGTGGTGAAAGCTCAATAAAGCTGCGGCATTTCTCTTCTGAAACACAAAACCAAAGCTTTTAGTTTTTAAAACAATGCAGGGAACATAGGGGAAAAGAAAATATCTTCATCTCACTCTCAGTGCATACCTCCAGTCATCCCTGAATCTTCAACCCATCAGACCTTCTCACCTCTGGTCTTTTTCTGACTATCTTTCCAGACCTTCACTGAAGTAAAGGAAAAGAAGGCAATATTTGCCTGCAAAACTCGAAATGGCCTTTTCAGAAAAAAAGCTTCAGCAATTCATAAATCTTACTAGCCTCTGCTGAATATAAAAATCTGTTGCTACTCATTCAGAACATTACTGATGATCAGATCTATTAAGGGTGTAGCTTGTAACAGATTGCAGATCCACCACTTCTGCTGAATTCCCACACACCCTAATCTCAGAAGAGCATTTCTAGCACTGCTTCTCAAAGAAGAAAGCAAAAAAAAAGAACTTCACAAGTGAAATACTTTGTGAGAGAGATTCAAGTCCCCCTTCTGTGGCAGAGACTCATATAGAAATATGGTCCTTGGTCCTCACATTTCAGGCATGTTATTTCAACAAATTGTATTAATATTTGCTTTGGCTTTTCATGTTGGCCAGGCACAAACTACTGTCTCAGCTTAGGGTCCATCATTATTATCTGTATGTTTCTGTCCCTGCATACTGCATCAGTGCATTTGAGGGTCCTCTCCTCCACTTGGCACAGTATTTTCTCCCAGATATTTCCGCTTCATGCAAGAATCTCATTTTCTTAATTTCTATCCCCAGTTCTAATCTTTTCAAATCTCCTGTGTTACTTCTGTCATCCACAGCTCTCAGGATGATACCCAGTTTAGTGCCATCTGTGGTTCTCATTAACTTGCAATTTGCTACTTCACCTAGAGCATTAATGAGGATATTCAGTAATGGCTCATCTAAACCGATCCTGAGATTAGCCTGAATAATGAAATCCTTTCTCCAGCTCAACTCAAACTCCTCTTGTTCAGAGTAGTCCCTTTTTTGTTGTTTTTATTGTCTATGCAGTTGCTTCAAAGATGCACAGTAGTGGGTGTGTTGTGCTTGATTTACAGGAAGCAGGAGACACAGACTGACTGTACTTCTGCCCCGTGTTCTGCTGCAACCCAGATGTTACATACTTTCTGTGTTCCTTCAGGCACTGGGGTTATTCCAGGACTGCCCAGTGGACAGAAAAGTCGTTTAGAGAAATCAGTCAAGGGATGTAGTTTCATTCCCACAAGCATCATGGAAACACAACCCAACCCAACCCAGTCCTAAATAAACAGTTCATCCTTCCATAGCCCATCTGGAAATGCTCATAACAAAAAGCAACCCACTTGTTAGGACATGAGAGTTTCAAGCATTCCCTTCTGCTCCAACCCCTCCTTCTGTCTGCTTTTCTTCACCAGTTATTTATTTTCAAACTCTGACAGCAACAGAGATGAAAAATACTATAGTGGAAGGATGGCTTGGTTAAAGAAGGTGAGATGTTTGCACTTGGGCAGAGCTGAAGAGAGGGTGGTGGGCTTAGGGGAATGGCCCTGATGCAAGTGACTTTCATCACTCTACCTTTAGATACAAATCTGTGTTGGCCACCTTCTGGATTAGTCCTGATCCTTGATGGGTGTGCCAAGCAGTAAAGGGCATCTGAGCACTGCAGAGCACCCACCTGTGCTGGCCTGGCACAGGTTCCAGCAGAAGGATTTGAGCAGGTCTGGGCAGCAACAAGTCAAGGGTGAAGGGAAGCACTAAAGGATTCTAATACAGGTTGCACAACCAGTCCCTGGCACTTCAGGATTTACAGTGCCAGTCCCACATGGTCAAAAATCACAAATGAAACCTGTCACAATATCACAAAAACTAAGAACAATTACATATTTCAGCTCTAATCCTCAGGTAAATTTGCCTCCTAGCTTTAGTTCCTTTGGGTTCAGGTCCCTCAGGTTCTCTCTGTAAGGTTTTCTCTTAATCTGTAAGGTAGTAAATCTCTTTCTCTGTTTTATTTTATTTTATTTTTAAGAAAAGTCCAGTCTCTGTTTAATAACACAAAACTACTCTTTTGGTGTTTTAAGTTTGGTGATTTAAGAAAACCAACTATTGTTTGTCCTCATAGTGATAGCTAAAAATTAACATCTGCATAAAATCACTGTACTTAAATTTCTGAGAGGACATGCACAAATTTACCCTGAGGAGCATGAAGTAAGCTGTGTATAGGAAAGGGAAAGGGAAAGGGAAAGGGAAAGGGAAAGGGAAAGGGAAAGGGAAAGGGGGCTCATGGAAGTTCCCATCAGGATGAATAGTGCCATCACAAAGTCACTGCCATCACCACCATCACTTGCACTTCACAGCCCCTATTTCAGACCAAAGGGCACACTAGAGTCAACCATTCTCCATCCATTTCCCTGCTCTGTGAACATTCCAGTGAAGGACAGAAATATACTGACCACACCAGTGCATTCGGCTGATACCATCTAGGAAAAGGAAGAAGACTTTTCTCCTAGGTGTTCTCAGCCTCCCACCTTTCAGTTTCAAACTTCTGTGGAGTAAATACAAGACAATAAGTTGTGGCCGCCTGGGCAACACATTACCTGGCCCTTCCATGCTCTCTTCACAGGAAAGCCACATCCCTGTGTGGAAGTATCTGAAGGCAAAGCGGTCATCTCCAGTCTCCCAGCTGTAGTGCACTGTGTCCTCAGACGAAACATTGCTCGTATCTTCATCAGATGGCATGGGGACACCCACGCACTGGGAGGCTTTGTTCTTCCCACACAAAGGCTTGGGTACTTTCTGGGTCCCGGTGCACCAGTAGCTGCCCAGCAAGGCAGTGGTGGAGAGGGTGAGGGCCAGCAGGTTCAGGATGACAGCCAGGAAAGTACGGCGCAATGGCAGTCCCTTCAGCAGCTCCATCTACAACACACAGACAGGAGAGACCGTCACACTGGCCACATGTCCCACACAGTCTTATGAATCCCACCTTTTCCCAGCATGCATCTGTGGGGAGGGGTTATGAGCACTCTGCCCTCCTCACAACATCCCAACAGCTCACCCAGCATGGAAGAACCATTTCTTGAAAGCCAGGGCAGTGGACCAATAGGTCAGCTTCAACCATTTCAAAGTATGCTGAATATCTGTACTGAGGAAGAGAGGGTGACATAGCAGGGCTGAGTGCATTGAAGTGTCTGAGCACATGAGCAAAATGAAAGGAACATCACATTCATCCATCTCAGAGATGAAAGGGAGAAACTATTAACCAACTTCTCTGAATGCCATGTGTTGCCTTTACATGAAATACAATGAATGCTCTCTCCAACTAAATGAGAAATCTTGCTGCCAAGTGTCCCAAAACATTTTTTCAAGCAGCTCATTACTGTACATAGGGAGGTAGAGAGTATAGTGATTTCTCACTATAGTGGGGAAAGGCAGGAAAATGTTCCTATATTGCTGAAGGTCACGCATCAAAGCAGTGACTGGCTCAGAGAGGACACCCAGCTGTCCAGACCTGGCATCTTAAGTACAAGTCACAGAGCAGCACCTTCCTTCCACCTGAGCTCTCATCTGCACATCAGAAACTTGGTAGGGTGGTGGGATGGCAGCGTCTCTGCTTTCACACAAAGTGCCAAAGGTTTTGTTTCTTATAGGAATGAACGTTGCCACATCCTTACTGATTTCATCTCATCATTAAAAGTAATTGAGAAAGCAGTTTGTGAACCAGAGACTTTCTCACTCTGAGGGAAGACAAAGACTTCAGGGTTCCTGCAAAACCCTGCACTGACTCCTGTGAACCCCAAAATATCACTCCATAGATTGATTAGATGTCATCTACCCACACATCAACTTTCATGTAATCAATGCATGTCTCTTCCCACGTGGCACTCCCTTAGGTTTGGCACAACATCATCCAGATACTCCCACCCTTTCCTATTTATGACTCTGAAAATCTATTTACCCCTGAATAGATTCCGTTTGCACAGACGCTGCCTACTGCTGGTTGTCTTCACTTAACTCCGGCTGACTCACCCAGCACTGAAGGCGTGAGAAAGACCCAGCATTCTGTGGACATCACTATAAATAAACAATACAAGACCCAGCTCTGCATTGTTTGTGACTGCACCACGGATAAAAGTGGTGCAGTTAGAATCATTTTTGCTGCTTACCAGCAAGCTTGGAAACATGGTCAGCAAAGAGGGTGCTGAAGCTCCTCTTGAAAAGCAGGACCTTATTAGCATCTCATCACACTGAGAAAGCAGTGCCTGACCCTGAAAACCCTCATTGAAAGCAAGAAAATACTCGGTTCCTGAAATTTTCCTGTATTGTTTCATACTCTGGCTTCTTTTGTCTCTTCACCAGGACATTTCTTTCTGCACCATGTAGATGGTAATGACTCAGTGATGCCATAACTAATGACTTTCATGATTTGAAGGTATGTTGAATATCACCATTTTCACAGAGTAGACACCTGCTAGGAAGAGTTTCTGGCTAAGATTAGTGGCACACTTCTCACTGAAAGTTTTTTTGGTGGAAAATTTGGCTTATGACTGAAAAGGAAATTACAGACAAAATTGCTCTTCTCAAATACATAATTTTTCACCTGAAAATTGAAAACTTCAGCACACAAAATTTTTTGAGTTTTTCATCAATGCTTAATTATAAGATTTTCTGTCATCAGGTTTTGGGTTGCTAATGCTTTAATTTAACAAAAAATTCCACTCACAATATTTACAAAAATCATCTTTCTAATTTAAATCTTCAATAGTGGGAAAAAAATTCTCTCCAGTTGATTTATGACAGCAGTTGAAAGGCCGTATAATTTCAGGAAGAGTGTTAAGGAAAAGACATAAAAAATGCAAGAAACAAATGAGTCAGAGTAGGAAGTGGATCAAGGATGCAGAAGACATATGGAATGAGAAGCAAATCTGAACTACTTCCTGAAAACATTGTTAGAAAAGCTTCCCTCCACAAAAGCCAAGCACTCACTGATAATAGCCAACCATAATATCTAGATAGCCCCAAAAGGAATGATAGTTGAATTTACCTTAGCAGCAAGTCTTTGAAGTCCCGGTAATTTGGATGAACAGCACAGAAGTGGGACTCACACTTTGTCTGCTGTTTTGTTCATCTCTATATCCTCCAAGAAACCAAATTGCTGCAAAATCCCTTCCTCCTTTGTCTGGTCCCCTCCTCCTTCGCCTCGCCAGTGATTATTAAATGCTATCCTTCTGATCAGCAGCTGTTTTGTGGAAAATGGTCATTTTGTAATCCACAATGCAATCACAGCACAGCTGTTCTGGGAGATTATATGGGAAGTGATTGGTGCTGTGGGTTGGGATTAAGTGCAGAAGAGTGACCTCTATTAACTGAGTAGAAAGTTTCTTTAAAACACTGAAAGATTCCAGCCATCCCCATGTGGTAGCTCTTTGGAAGCTTGTATGGAGGAAGATGGCAGCTTTGGCCAATGCAACAGGGGAGGAGGGACCTTAGCTTGGAAACTGACAGCCCCCTTGGCATCAGGTCATCCCTTGCTCTGTGTACTGTCTCAGCAGAGTGGCCAAGACCAAAAGCACCTAGGGTATCTTTCTGGCCACACCTGATAGTTGCAGAAAGGGCAGAATGAAAAAAAAAAAAAAATTGAAAGAAGAAAGTTTCTTCAACTGCATCTACTCTGAGGACTGAATATTTCAGTCCCTGAAGAGATACCAATGCAGCTCTCCCCATGGGCACTGGAAATTTTGATGCCAAAAGGAGCCCCTTAGCAGAAGAGCTGCTGAGTGGCAGACTGACACCATGGCATCATTACCACAAAGGAGCTATTTGAAACAGCAACAAGTCAAGCCAATAGTCAAAGCATAGGAGATTGTCAGTGCCACTTGTAGTGGCAGCTTTTACTAAAATGTGAAGGTCACTGCAAATCCCAGCTGGTTCACCTTAGATGAATTTGGGAACCTAGTAAGAAGAGACAGATTCACATTCACACAAAGTCTGAGCTCTTGTCCTGAAAGTTTAAAGGCTCTCAAAATACCTGTTTGCCACCAAACCCATGAGAAGTAAGAACAACTTCACCTCTCATGAGAACATACTAGATGCCATGGAGCAGAGCTCCACTGAATCAAGCTACAAGGGAGGGGAACATCCCAAAGGAAGACACATCCTGTCTTCTCCACAAGCACTTTGCCCTGTGCCAAGAGGGTGAAGCTCGTGCCACCACTGGGAGGGAAGGAGGCAGATTCCCTGCATGCTGCTCTGCCAAGACACAGGAAGCCAGTGGTCCATCCATTCTCATCCCCCATGTCCAACATGAGAGCCCAGGGTGCAGTGCAGGAACAGCTCTGGGTGACAGCACAGCCTGTGACAGCCTCACACAGCACGGGCAGCAGACGGAGAAGTTCACGGTCCAGTACGTGGGCTGTGCTGTCCCAGGCTCCTGACCCTTCCTGCCCTGAGCAGAATGGGCAGCAGCTCTGTGGTTATTTTAATCCCAGTCGCTGCATAAACTCCTCTAATATAGATAAGCATTTCTAAGACGGACTAACTGAAAGCAATGCTAAATGTCCCTGTGCCCCATGGACTGCCTGCAGGTTTTCGATTAACAAAAAGGTTCTGTTTGGAACAGATGTACTTAATTTACTGAAGTAGGTAGAACAACAGCTGATGCCTTTTAAAAGCAGAGTGATTTGTTTTTTCTTTCTTTTCTTCAGTCTGTCCACATCTGGACACCTTAAATTTAAGTTCTAAATGCTCAGCTAAAAAAAAGAAAAAAGAAAAAATCCTGGTTTACAATCTCAGGAATAGATAAAGTCCATCTCTACTGATAATCCTTAACACCTTCCTCATTTTAAGCTTGGTTAGAATATCATTAAAACCCAAGATTCTCCATCAGTTTCTAAAGCTGGGTTCATGGCATATATATTGATGAAGTTAAACTGAATTAGTTTTATATAGATAAGAATTCATGTTGGGAAATAAATTTATCAGAAATATGCTATGGTTAAAAAAATATATGCTTATAGCGTATTTAGTATTCTGAATAATGGCAGATATTTATCCTTCCAGAAGATGGCAATCTTTCTCTAGTCTTCTTTTCAGGAGTCTGCTGCTCACATGTATGCTGGGGGGAAGCAACACTGAAGTTTAGACTTCTATTCCGTCCCTTGAAATTCCTCCTCCCCTCCTATTTTTTTTTTTACATTTTTATGAGCACAAACTCTTTACCTTGACTCTGAAGTGGGGTTTGGGTCTGTCTCTTGGAGTTATCTGAGCCTGGGAACTCTTGAAATCACTGGGAAAAGGAAAAAAAAGAGGAATGATTGCAGGAGCTTAGCTTTTGCTCACCTTCTGCCCTGCATACCACTATTCTTCCTAACACTTTTCACAATATTTTGTCAAGTATCACATTAAATTTCCCAAGATTATTGCACACAACTCATAGAACACCAACAACAGAATATGTTTCCTAATGTTCAACAAACTCCCCTTCACAAAATTATGGAGATTTTATCTGGTTTTGATTTGGATTTTAGTTGGTTGGCTGTTTTTTTAAATTTTCTATATTAACCTCACCTCAATCTGACCTAATATAGACACAAAAATCAAGCTGTATCTGTCTTTCACCCTGCTGTGCCTCCAGTTTTCTCCTCTTTGTATTTGTATCTGATATTTCCCACCATAATTTGGCTTGGCTAGAGTTTTTGGATGTCTCTTTCTCTTTGAACTCAGCAGCAGCCAGTCCCTGGTGGCTCATTTAAAATTCTCCCATTGAAGTGAATGCCCATAGCAGTTGATTTCCTGTGCAATCAGCCAAATGCTTGACTTATAGAAACAAAACAAGGAAACAAAATGCAAAACCCCCCCAAAGTCTTTGCACAGCACCACTGTGGAGATTGCCAGCTCTAAAAAAAACTGGGTGTTGATAAGTGATGCATTTTCATCCTGGCTCTATCACCATCTACACCCCAGCTTGGGTGTATCCTGCCCCAAAGTGACAAATTCATCTCCCAGGGATGTTGGTGGAAAAGAAGGTCAAGGAGACCTTGCCAGATAGGGCCCAAAACTTGCAATAATTAACTGGTAGGTCTCAAGAGGCACACGACTCCCCATAGCCCCCCATGCAGCAATCTTCCGGGAATATCAGGGACCATTTGCTGTCCTGACATTGGCTCTTCAGCTGACCTGAAGACGAAAGGAGAGGAGGAAGGCTGGCTATTTACACCCATAGAGTCACTCTGTGAAAACTGGACAAAGACAGGCTCATACTCACCCTTCATTCCACACATTCCTCGCACATGACACTTCCCACCGCTCCTGTTTTTGCTGTTTTTACAGGAACACCATTCTGAGCCGCAGTCCCCTCCCTTACTGCCACGCAGAAAGCAGGATGTCTCCTGAGTGACAGTGACATGGAGAGAGCCAGACTTCTCAAACCCAGTGACAGACTGCAAATGCCAGATTTCTCCCTGAGCTCTGAATAATTCCACTCAGATTGTAACCTTTATTTAGCTGTTTGCATGATGCATTAACTCTTGCTCTGAAAATGACCTCACCAGGCATTTTTTCTAGTCTAAGCACATTTAAAGGTGAATTCTGTTTTCAAAGATGATCAGCTTACATTGCTAGACACTGAGACCGTGGCAGAAATAAAGATTGAACTGGATTAAGTAAATGCATCTTAAAGATGGACAAACAAGCCAGTCAGTTTGGACCTAACTACTTCTTTTTCTTTCTACTGCTTTTTTTCTTGAAACAAGTCTTAGTTGGCTGGATTATTTTTCTAATCTTTATGTTTGTCAGCCACTCAAAAACCATGCAGAAAGCAGTCATGAAAAGGAAAAAAATCAGATGCAGCAACAAAGACTTTGAGGACTCACTAAAGATTCTAGCTGTCTCAATTTCTGGATAGGAAATATAAAACTATATATTATATATAAGGCTAGGGGGTTGCTTTTCAGAGTATTTAAACTCTGGCTGTATTCACCTGGGCACACAGAAAAAAAAATAGCATTTATCTGATTTAGCTAACCATAAACTGTAGACAGATAAGAAAACCACAAATTTATACATAGATCTATAAGGATATTAAAGAGGTGCCAGTCCAGAAAAGGGTCTGTACAAAACTCCAAGTAGATAAATGCTTACCTCATCCACTGCTCACTACTCCCATCTGCTTTTCTGAGGTGTCCAGTGAAATACTACAAGGTGATCATGGATTCGCCCTCATGTCTTTCTGTCTGACTGAACACATAGTAGCCAAGAAATTCCATGAGATCTGACCAGATGCTTTGAAACGTACCAAGTCTGTCACTTTACTGATGGTTTAATTCTTTCTGATCTCGCTAAATCATCACAGTAAGTTATATCAGCCGCTAGTTTGGCAGGGCATCCACTTCTGCAGAATGAGCCTTTGTAATTTGGTAGTCCTCTCTATGAAAATTGTTGCTACTTTTAAATCTACCACTGACGAGATCTCAGTCTGTTACTACTCAGAATCACAAACACACAGACTCAATGACTACCACAGGCTCATGGGGTTTTTCAGCAGC